ACTAATTTTCGCCTGTAAACCAGAATGCATGTTTATGCAAGCAACTCTTTGGTCTCAAGAGTCCTGTTTAAATTGCATTTCTCGATGGCTTACGACTGCATATAAACACTCGACAGACAGATATTTCATATTTGACTGCGAGTCGTCGTATCGTTCGCCAAGTCCTTCAGCTTAGAAGCTTTCCCGCGTCGAGTGTGTATGTTCAGCATTTATGAAAGGAAAATTGCTGTGGCATTTTGAAGCAGAATATTTGAATTTACTTCGAAAAGGGACGAACTTGTGATCTCATTAGCAGATAATTTGCAATGCGTTTGCGAGGCATTTCCCACACCTGCAACCTGCAGCTCACCAGCACTCTATTATTCCAATCAAAAAATTTGTTTAGCTGCGAATTTTCTGGGAACTTCCGCCCCTCAAGAGGAACTATGAAATGGAACTAAAAATGTGTGCAAAATAAAGTGAAAAAGCCAAAGCTTGGGAGCTCACAGAAAAAAAAAAACGCTGAGGGAAGGAGCAGTGCAAACTCTGTGGAGCTGGCAATAATAGAGTAAGCTTACTGCTCGCTGCTCAAGTGCAATGGCAATTGTTGTTGGTTTAACTGGGAGCGTGTATACAGTGCTGCGGATAAGTATCCTGCCAAGGGCCCGCTGAGCTGTGGTGCACTCAGTTTCGTAAGCAACTGTAAGCGAACTGAGGAGTAATCCCACGTTCGCTCATTTTCACAATTAGGGGATCGGGGACGATGCGGATGCTTTAAGCACAAAATTTTCAGCTGTCCAAGGGCCGATGGGCAATGGGCCTTTGTTTTTCCTCTGACGTAAAGGAAGAATTTTCCCAGAAAAAAAAAATGTTCAACGCTTTTTGTGTGCGCTTTTTTTGTTTCTTGTTATATTTTTTGTTGTATAATTTTGTTGCTGTTGTTGTGCTTTCTTTATTTTGGACTGCTCTTGACGTCGTCGTCGTAGTCGTCCTTGTTGAGTGCAAGTCCTCGACGGAGTCGCCATCTCCATGGCATGCTTGGAATTTGCTTTGCTTTATGCTCTCCCTCCCTTTTTAAGGGATGGGTATTTTTTTCGGGCTGTGTAAGTGCACCTTATTTCTTTCATTTTTGCATTATAAAAGGTAGGAATTAATGCACAGTCGAGTGGGAGGAAGAGTCCAGAGGACGTCCTGTCCCCGTCCTCAAGTTTGCTGAAAGTGTTGGGAACTGTTTCGTGGTTTCTTCTTGTTTTATGATTAAAGTTTGTAGTGGGCGACGAGGCTGAAGTGGGGCGAAGGGAGTCGTCACAAAAAGGGACGACGGAGGAAGAAGACCTTAAATATGAATAATATAAATTATAAGATGAATTTTTTAGCAACTCGTGCCTGGCGTGCCAAGAAATATCCTTCTTATCTTGTCTACTAAACTTTGTACTTCCTATGAGATATTCATTTCACGTAAAGCCACTTGCCATTTATTTTGCGCACATATTTCCTTGGGTGATTTTCAAGCAATTTTCCAGCTTTGTTTTACAGTCTAATTTGTCCCGTTTATCGTACATACAAATATAGAAATACATATATATGAATACATACAAATCCCAATTTATATCCTTAACGAAAACAAAAAACATCCAGCCCTTGCATCAACATATTGCTTATCTATTAAAGCAATCCCAAATCGCTCAACTTTGCATAATGCAATTCGCCCAAAAACTAGATAAACACATGCATATATATATATATATATTGTGCTTTCTGTCTTTAGTTATCCTTAAGGCCTTTCCCTGACTTTCCGCCCTGCGAATCCTGCTGCCTGCACTGTAGCTGCCGGCTTTTCAAAGTTTTCCCAGCCATTGCATGTCATTTGCATAGTTTTCATTGCCCAAAGTCCTCGTCCTCGTCCTGGTCCTGGCCTCCATCCTCGTCCTCGTCCTCTTCCTGCCACTGCCATTGCAGTTGCTGTAACGAGCTGTCAACAATCTTTTAGTTTGGGCCATCGGCAATGTATTTGCCAGTTTTTCAATTGAATTGTCGAACGAGTCTCGTTGATATCACAGGCTTTCCACTTGGCTTCCTTCCTGGTCTCCCCCCTTCCTTCTAGGGCTCATCTCCTCCAGTTCGTCCTGGCAAACATGCAAAAATATTAACTTAATTTATGAGACGGCCAGGCCTGTGTTAATGTTGCAAATCGGCCGACAAATTGCTCGCCATTGGCCGGTTGATTTATGGCAAACTGGGTCGCTGAGCAAGCTCGCACTCCGCTTTCGATTCGGAGAATGCAACTAAATGTGCAACCTACTTTCCAATTATCCTGCTGCAGTGCTGCTCCCGCTTCAAGGACCAACCGCAGCAGCAACAACAACACCAGCAACGACGACGACGACGACGGGCCACTGTGTGAGCCCGGTTAACAAAGCCTGGCTGAGTGCATTTTAGCTGAATTACGGCTCTTTCTTGAGAGAGCACAAAAAGACAGGTGGGCGAGTGAGTCTGAGGGGAGCGAGGGGGTATTCCATGCCAGGATGCACTCACCTGCATGTGCGGTGAAGGATGCAGTACATGAAGTGGGTGAAGGCCTCGGCACACGCCCAAAGGCGAGTAAATGGCCTTTTGTGCCCATTGTCTGAGGCTCGTGCTCCGGCTCCGGCTCCTGTTCAAGCTTCTCCTGCTGCTTCTGCTACTCCTGCTCCTGCTCCTGCTCCTGTTCCTATTCCTGCTGCTGCTGCAGCCATTATATGCCAAAATAGGGCCACTCAATGCCAGCATAAGATCTGCCCAAGCCAAGCAGGCCCCCGAGTTTCATTTGCAACACCTGCAAATGCAATTTTCATAATTCACTCCAATTTTCACTTTTCTGCTAATTAGTCGTAGTGCGAGTGCTATGCAAAAACTTGGGCTAATTGCTAAATAAGCAGGGCCTCATTAAATTAGAGAGTATTGCTTGGGAAAATCGCCTCAAGTCGGAAATCTGGGCAGGCAACATCCGTTTCCGTTTCCGTTCCCGCTGTTGCTGTAGCTTGCTGCCTCCCCCCCTCGCTCGCCATCCGGTGAAATATTAACCCACTAATGCCGAGTGCCCCGCTCTATGCCATGATTCACGCGGTGTCACGTTAACCCATTAAGCACAGCGCCATAGATACAGTTGTTCATTGTTGCCGGTGTCCTTGTTTTGCGGTCTAAATGCACAAAAAGCTTAGCATAAATGAGCAGCGCTCCCTTCCGCTGTGTAGCTCCTGCTCCTGCCCCACTGCTCCTTTGCTCCTGTTATCCTTGCTGTTGTTGTTGTTGGTCCGTGTCCGGTAACAAAGCTCATTAGCAAAGGCAGCCAAACTGGCGAAAATGTTAGCGAGTGCAGCAGCAGCAGCGTTATTCAGCGGAAACTGTGGCCGCCATTCACCAAAGGAGCAGCTCCCGAGGATCCTACCAAATAAAAAGCGAAACATTTTGCAAATATTAAATCAGTCGAGAGAGAGAAGTGAGAGACCTGCGGGATTTCTGCAAGCACTAATTAACTTGGTGATTTAGGGGAATGACTGTAAATAAATAAAAGTTGTGGGAGTTTTTAGTATAGCTTCCATTTTGTTACTTTAGATTGGGGGGGAGAAGTTGAGCTAATTTATAAAGTAATTGCAGATTTTCTAATTTTAATTAATTTAGTTTTAAATGCCAACAACTTTGAGTTAATAAATTAAAACCAATTTGGAAAGCTTTAACAATAATTGTTCTTTATTGCTACATTTCATTTGATTTTATAAGTGCTATACGAATTTAAAACCCTTCTTTCTATGATTTACAGCATTCTCTAAGTAAAATCTTTTCTTTTGTATAATATAAATGCCATTTGCCTTCGTTTGATTGACAAACGTTGAAAGGTTTTCTCGCATTCCTTGCATAATCTTTACTTTTAAAGTTCTGCCTCGACCCCTAGATTCTCTCCACTCCGAACGAAATTTCTCCTGATTTCCTTTTAATTCTTTGGGCAAATAATAACAAAACGAATCCAAAAGATAAAGTTGAGATACTCCTCCGACTATCCCCAGTTTGGCCGGGGTAACTTTTCCGGATTGGTGCTGTTTGTCTTTGGGGCGTATTCCGGGGACTGACTCGAGAGTACCTGCTCGCCGAACTGGAGCAGAGCTGTGGGCAAAGTTGGTGAGCCGGGGCGCAAAAGTGTCTTAACAATTGCTCGGGCATCTATAAACATAATTAAAGAAACTCTGGCAAATTAATTCAAGTTGAGAATTTAACAATTTATCCAAGGAGGCTGGGTGGGTTGGCGCAAAGTTTTCCTTTCCTGCCGTCCTGCCAAACAATAAACAATCAAGTTGAATTCAATGGCGGACTCTCAGCAACTTTTTAATCAACTTGAAGATGCAAATTCTGGATAGTTGCTTGGGCTTGGCTTTGGTCTATATGGCCGTCTAATTGGCCGGCGTTAATAATGTGTGCTTGTTACTGCTGTTACCGACTCTTAAATTGCCAAGCAGCTGACGCCAGTGATTCAATTTGTCAGCTGCTTGTCGGACGGATGTCCTCCGGGGTGGGTGATGTCCTCGAATGATGTGACTTTTAGTGCCTGAGCTTAATTAAAAACCCTGTTGGAGTAATCGCCGGCGTCTTGTCTTCATCTTTATCGCCAGAGCTCCTGCCAGCGCTTCCAGAGTGGTTACAAAGTTCGATCTTTGCCGTCTGTCTGCTCTGCGGTCGTTTGCCCCAAAGTGCAAAGCGTTGTCCTGTGCTCAGAAAAATCCAGCAAAGGACGCGACACATGGCTTCTTCCACGCCTCGTTTCAACCCTATTCCCCGCCAGACTTGTACCACCTCCTAATTGAGTTGTACAAGGCTACTACTAATTGCATTCGATGCCTGCCGCTTGGCGTTGATATAATTAAATTTTATTGGCAGCAGCCAGAGTCGGTGCCCCTGAGTTGGGGCCTTGGCTTAAGGTGCTTTCTGGTCAGATTTATTGCCTTGCAATTTAATTAAAATTTAATCGCGGTGAAGTCGCAGAGCCGCCGCCGCCTTACCTGTCAAGTTCAAGTTATGGGCATTGACATTTTTTTAGTTTAAACTTAACTCTTGACAAACGGGAGGCACATGGTTGTGAGTTGGTTACGGGACACGCACATACACCGCACACTATACACACTTTTACACACACCAACGAGATTACATTCTAAGACGAAACACACATCCTGAAGCAGCATTCCAATGCCTGGCCAGGTGAATGAAGGCATTGAAGACTTGACGGAGACGGAGGACCTTTGTGCCTTCTGCCTGGATCGCATACAGGACCCAGAGAAGCTGCTCTGCAATCATGCCTTCTGCAAATCCTGCCTGGAGGTCTATCTGGAGGCCCGCAACTGGGTGGCCGAACTGTGTCCCATTTGCCGGCGCAGCCTGAGCGAACTGTTACCCAAGCAGGGTAATGAAGTAAGTGACTTTCGGGGTCCTGGGAACCATATAATCGTAAGAAATCCTTGAGAACTATATTCTTCTCATGCACTCATCATTATCCTGTGATTTCCGCTTAAAGGGCTGGCGCCTGTTTGGCTTTATGACGCTTCTAATAATATTGCTGAGTCTGGGACCCTTTTACCTGCTGCTGATCTACTGGTAAAGCAGCAGCAAACTGATTTGCCAAAGAAGGAAGTAGGATGTAAATTTGTACTTAGATAGACTCACAAGAGACAGAGATATGTATGTATATGCAAACTTGCCAGTGGATTTTAATTAAACCCGAAAGCCATAAAATGCCAAGTGGAATTCGCTTTTGTTCTCCTGTTGTCCCTGGGTCCTTTTGTCCACCTTAATGAGTTTTCAGCCACTGAGATAGATAAGGATGTTCTTAGTACTCTTAGGCTGTCTCATCTGAATAGAATGGAAAAGTCAACTTGCGGGCGTCACACAGAATACAACATTGCACATACGCCCTGTGGGCCCAGGGCTTACTCATTGTAGTTTCGCGTTTTAATTCAATTTTATGCGCCAATAAACTGCTGTTGGGTGCCAGCATAAAAAAGTGCACTGCCACGCATGCATGAATGCAATGCATTGCAGCTGCAGTGAAAGCAAATAAATCTAAGCTGAGTCAGGCCATCGGCAACTATGTATCCTATACATATATCCCAATATATATACCAATATCACAATACACAATACACAGAGCTATCACTTATTTATGTTTATTTGGCGGCTGTAAATCAAAATGTTTTCGGCCACAAAAAACGCATATAATTTACAAATATTTTGCCACTTCAAAATGACCAACAAGTAAATATTGGAAAATGCTGAATATTAAATGTTGATTGGCCAACAAAGATGGATCATGGGCATACCCTATGGGGATTAGAGCTAACTAACATGTTATGTTAATTTTTCGCATTTTATTTATAGTTGAAAACTATAGACTTTGTTTTATTTTAAATGGGATTACACGGGACTAAACTCTACTAAATGCTCGTGCAGTAAATATTATTTTTATGAGGATTTAACCATAAACTGCCTTCTGTCCAGGGTACAATTGTGTTTTAGTGGCAGCTATTGATACGCGTATTGGATTTCGACCATGTTTGCGTCCCAGTTTGTTCACTTTGGCCATAATAGCTCACACATACGACTCTGGCAGCCGGAAAAACAAATATAGCGAGGCGTTCGTTCAACCATTTTGTGTTTTTCAGTTATTTGCGCCACGAAAACGCTCCGGAATTTTGGTCCAGGCATGCCCACCTGAGCATGTGGCTAAATATTCCGCCGTAAACTAATATGCCTCTGCCGCCGGAGATATGGAGGATAACCACCGAGCAATGGCATTCCAGGTTTCGCGGTGGAATTGGAAACGGCATTGGAGGAGCGGGAGGACCTAATCCTTGCCCGGCTTTTGGGCATCAGGCATGGTCGAGTTCCATTTTGCTGCCGCTGCTCGCTGTCACATCCGTTCGCACAGGATATGAAATGGCTGCCGCTGCTGCTCATAGTGTTTCCCGGTCTTTGGTTATATTCTTGTTTTTCCCCCTCATGCTATTTGCCCGATTTGTGGGCCAATCCACACTCGATTTTTGTCGATTTTTTCCGGCTTTTTTCCCCGGGTACTCACACGGCTGCCAGTGTTGGTTGTTTGGCTTTTGTCAGCTGGCAGGCAAATTGAAATGTTTGCCTCGGGCATCGGTTTTCCACCAAAGCCCCCCTTCGCCGCGTCATCCCCGCCCGCTCTTTGTTTGTTGATCTTTGACACTAGGCTGTAATTGAAAGTTTTGTGTGGACATTTGAGGAGACAAAGCCAATCGATAGGGTTTTAGAGCCGTAGCGAAAACTGGTTCAGCAGAGCCAGCTGAAAATTGAATTTCGACTTGCTTTATAACATATATACGCTGAGGTCTGTACTCTCAATTAGTTTCGTGGATGTGAACGTGGGCGGGCTTAATTAATTTTTACATGTCCCGGGATGACCCCAAACTACGGCCACGGCCAGGTCACCGCCCACAAGGCCGCCTCCTTTTGTAAAATTCCACCTGCCCTCATTTGTAACGCCCATTTCGTAGCTGGCAAGCAAGCGGCTTTATCGCTTTCCCCCCCTTTCCGTGACGCGACCACAATTTCATCGATAGCAAACACAGACGATGGCGGGGCTTTTCCAACCGCTTTTCCGACCGCTGCCGCCCCGCCTCGCCCCTGAACGTTGGCTCATTGCCAATGCATTGTGCGCCGATTATTTTGCCGTTTATTTTCCTCTCGCCTGGCGATTTTCCTTCTCCATACCGAGTAATCATAGGGCAAGAGGAATACATAGTTCCCGATCCTGCAAAGTATATATTATTATAGTTATTATTATGTGTAATTTAATCATATTTAATCTTGGTTTAGTTACTTTAAAAGTATATCATTGTTTCTTAGAACAAATCAGCTGTTAAAGATCTCTCACTACTGGGTACCTTAGGGTCGTGACACCTTGACTCTAGCTCTTTTTCCATTTCTTTTTTCTTTCGCTGACTCTGTTTTCCCGGGGCCTGGGTTTTCATATTAAATTTTTGTCACTCTGCCATGTCTATCTTCGGCTTCGTTGCTCTCCAAATTGGCTGCTTTTCAACAAAGATGCAACATCTGTTGCCATGAAGCTGCTTTCCAGCGCTCCTGCCGCTCCTGCTGCTTCTTCTGCTCTTGCTGCTATCGCTTTGCATATCCTTTTTGGCTCTGGTGCAAATTGCAGTGTTGGCCCGGCAAAAGGAGCTCATGTCCCGTCCCGATGTTTCTCCGGCTGTTTCTCTCGCCGCAGAAACCCAAAATCCTATTCATTATGTCACCGGAGGACGAGGAATGGGAGAATGGGAATGCAATGGGGATCCGGGATTGCCATTTGCATGTCCTGTTTCGTTTCATTAAATGCCTGCCTTGCCTGGCCCTGCCCTGCCCTGCCCTGCCTTGCCGCATGCAATTACCAATTTATTTTGCCGGAGTGCACTTCTGGCTTGTCTCGGCTTTTTATGGGCCCAGCCTGGGAATGTGATAAGGCATAACCCCCGCAGCTTAGCGAGTGGCTCACATGCTCAAATTGTGCCAAATTAGCTTGGTTTTGATTCTTTTTGTTTTGATTTTCTATTTGAGAGATTCTTTTGGCTTTTGTTTATGCGAATTGTGGAGTGAATAATGTCATTTGAGTTCATTTCTCAGGGTTACATAGTCAGTAATATGGTTGAGCTTGCTTTTACCGGTTTTATATATTTTTTCAGAGGCTTGAGGGGTTAAAAATTAATAATATAATATATAATAAAGAAGTTTAAAACTTCATATCTCAGTCAAAAAAATCATTAATTTCAATTCGGAAACCATTCTTATGCAAGTTTTTATTAGGTTAACAAATCTGCATACTTAATTTAAAATAATAAAAAAATTCAAATTTATGAGGATTTTTGAAAATTTTAATGATGGAACCCTTATAATTTTTTTCAAAAATCGAAAACATTCAGATAGATTCAGCTGTAGATGCTGATCAAAATATATATGATTTATGGGGTCGGAAATGACTCTTTCACTACGTAACAAGCTTCTGACTGAAGTTAAAATACTTTGCAAGGGTATACAAATTATAATATATATTAATTTACGCTTTATAGCATTATATAGTAAATATTTATTGGTTTGTAAACGTGTCTTATTTGTGTTTTACTTTTTTTAAGGGAATCTTAATATAATAAAAAGAAGCACTTAAGCTAAACCCGAATAAACTGCACAATAAAGTGCCTGATTTTGCTAATTTTATAGCCTTAGCTCGCCCTAATTTATCTCAACTTTAATCTAGTTTTGTGTATAATGATTTCTTAGACCTTTTCCGCCGACACACCGAGTGTAATGATATAATTAATTAGTCGACCTGTACGGGGCGCTGCCGTTGAACTCAGATGCTGCATTTGTTTTTGCCAGCTGCATGCACACGTTCCCGTCTGTTGTTGTTTTCTCGGTTACCTCGAATCCTGCCTGCTCCTACTGCGGCTTCTCCTCTGTTTGGAATCCCTGGTGCCATGCCATGCCATGCCGTGCATTGTTTGCCCTGATTGCTGGCATGGCTGGTGTGGAGACGACGAGATGAGCCAACGACCTCTGGCTGCTTGTCAAAGATTAAGCAAACCGAGCTAAGCGGACAAACAAACACGCACTCGAGGGCATTTGGCAGGACCTTTCCGGCAGCCGAGATAGATAGATATGGAGAGAGAAAGAGAGTATGCCACAGGATTGCACAGGACACGGCGCACACGGATGCACATGGCAATTGCTGCATTTAGTGAGCAATAAATTCCCTTTTAATTTACTAAATGTGTTTGTGCGGGGCCATCTTCCAATATCCATTCAGTATCCTGTGACCAGTGTGTCCTGCGCGTGAAGCGGACAAATGGCTGCGGAAGACGGATGATACAATTGTCTGGCCCCGACTCTTAATTGCTCCAGCTTCAGCTATAGCTCCAGCTACAGCAAGTTTTTCGGCTTGCAATTATGCAAATGCCGAGTGCCGAGTGCAGAGCCGAGTTGCCAATGATGATTTTGTGGCCATAATGATTTGTTTCTGTGGCCTGTGTGCCTCAGCTTTGGTCAGCTTGATTGACCGCACAATTTCCTGTCATTAGGGTCGAGCACATGCCGCTTCTGCGGCGAATCAAAGCAGGCAGGATCGAGTGCCGTGCCGGCTTCAAATTAAACAGATTGTGTATTTATGAAAGCATTTAAAATGCAAGCACAAGGCAGCAGGAGCAGGCCCACTGCCATAATTTCACATTAACCTACTTCCAAAAAATGAGCAGCATCTGGTTATGATTTCCTCTTCATCTCTCTTCCTCTCTCTCTCTCTCTCTCTCTCTCTGTGTGTGGCCATTATCCTGTTGTCATCCCACTCTGCTGCTCATTAGCTGGCACATCCAGGATTCTGGCGTTTAATTATGTCACACCCCAAATGTCGTGTGTATGAGTTGTCGTTGTCAACGTGGCATTCATCAAACATGCACGGGAATGGCTCCCCTGGTCAACTGTGTCGCCCCAGTCTCATGTCCCCGAGGGTCAGGACATCAAAAGTCCTGGCCATAAACTCGCCAATTAGATTTCTGGGTCCTCTCACTGATTGCATTTATGTACGAGTAGTAGGTGTTCCCGCCCATGTGTGTTTGTGCTGTCAATCAATTTTTAATGAGTTTGAAATTGTTTGGCCAGCCAACAATAGCTCACTTTTCCAGCAGAAAGTTCTCTTTTTATGACCGAGTTCGGTTTACTATATACCA